TCAGTAAACTACATAAAAGAAGTTAATAAAATTGTGACATTTATTATAACGAGAACTTATACATCTATGATGTATAACAGGTTCTTTAATCTTTAATATTTTAACAATTAATGGAATTCTAATAACATACGATTTCCAAGGATAACTGAGATAACAGTGATTCATACTTATTATATAAGAAAAGCTATAGTATACGTAAAGCATTCGATAAAGCATATTACATTGTGAGATTTCATATTAAAATAATATCCATCAAGCATTTCAGTATCTTTTTTAAAATTTGCCTCATTTTCCTGTTCTTTTATGTGAATTATTTCTATAATTAATCTTATATTGTAATTATATTCAATGTATAATACTTTCATCCCTTTCCATCCAATCAAACGTGTGATTTGTCTCTAGAACGTGTTCTCTAATGAATGCTTTTTTGAATTTAATTTTATGTTATTGGCGTCTTTATTTCTGGTTACGTAGTTTCTTTTTTGTTTGTCTTACGTATGAACTATTACAATTTTTGCAGTTAATTTTGTAAATTATGTGATTGTCATTATACAATTCTGTTTTATCTTTTTGAGCTATAATTCTACTAACAAAAGTTTAAACTTCGAAAACTTGTAGTTGTGGATCTATTTATGAAAGATGTTATTACTATGTCTGAGATACCTGTGACGTAAGGAACCACTATATATTCTTTTTTTATCGGTTCATTCTTATTTCTTTGGTAAAACAAAGAAGGAATAACAAAATAAAACGATCTATTACTGCAAATGGTTTCTATTTTCTAATATTTAGGATGATTCAAATAGAAAGATAAATAACGTTTAGAAAAAATTTCTTTGTGAGACCAATCTATGATTATTTTGTTATCTTAGTCATCAATGTTCAACGAGATATCCAAAAAAATAATTAATAGTTATCACGAGCATCTGAAATTTACTGTTAAAGTGGAGGTTAAACATTGTCTTAATTTTTTGTTAATATCTAGTTTTGCAAAATGCTCATTATTTGCGATTTAATAAATTATGATTTTAATGACTCACGCGATTCGAATAATCATAAACCAATAAACAATTTGTTAAAACACATTTATTTTTAGTATTGTTCAATAAACTGCTTTACTCATACAAATATAACATGGCAAAAAGTTGAAATATAATAAATATGAAAAATTGTTGCTCATATAAAATCTTTAAAGATTTCATATATTTTTAAATATCTTTTAATTACGTGTCTATTTTTTAAATATCTATTTTAATATCTTTTTTTTTTAATTAAATGCTTGCTACTACAACATCTAAATTGATTATATATTTCAAATGACTTTTCTTTTTCATTCGGCAGTCTAATATTAAAAGTAGGTTTCGTTGCTTTTTAGTCTTACTCTCGGGTGTATTTGCTTTGTCGGTGTCATCTCTTTTCCCAAGTTCGATCTATACTAGATTGCCGGGTAATACCGCAGGTTATTTGGCTTTCTCTCTTAAACACCGTGGAACATCGCCTTGGATCCAGGATATTGCGAACGATGGGATCACCGTACGGAAACAAAGCCAGGCACTTAGCGGCAAATTAGCGATGGCTACGGGCGCCACTGTCGCTCTTCATTACACCGATACCCTCCTACCTTCTACCTCCTCAACTCCTCCCATGACATCCCCTAACTCGATCTAACCCTCTTAACCTCGTCCAGACAATGCACATGCCATCCGTTCTTTGTGTATATCGGCAAACGAAATGTCGATTGTGTGTAAAAATTCTTTAAATTATGATAGCTTTATTTCTTTCCTTTTGTTACTTTCATCCACATCCACAATGTCTTAATAACCAAACATATTCATATAAATCTCATCTCATAATATTCTTTATATACATTATTTATTTTCTGTGTTTACTATATATGTATAATTTAGCACTGATAAATTATCATTATATATTACATTGTTATTATTGCACCCACAACTTATTTCCTTATTTAAAATTTTCAGACAAAACATGCGTACAATTCGCAATTAAAAGTCGACAGAAAGAAACGTATAGAAATCTCAGAATCTACTTCAATTATAATCTTCGAAATCATTTTTTTATCTTGCTGGAATTTTAAGTAATTAAATTAAAAAAGCAAATATGTTAAGAGTTACTTGAAAAAATAAAAGATTATTCTAAATTGCATTTAAAAGTAATACAAAAAATTAGAGACAATTGACTATCTGGATCAAAAGTTATTTCAATAAAAAGTAATATTTTTAAAATTTGTACTCTAATAGAAATGAAAACGTATTATAAAATAATGATAAAAATCTCAATTTTTTTATATAAATATTTTATGAATTCAAAAATATTTATGTAAAATTACATTGAAATGCAGACATTAATTTTTCATTAAAGAAACAAAATATTTATTTGTTATAAATTAATTGGTGAACCTCAATGTTTTATGTGCCCTTACAACTTCGTTAACTAAATTTAAATTATTAAAAATTTTTGCTATTAGATAATTTTTTGAATAAATAGCATTGAATTCCGATAAATTGTTATAGACTATTTCAGTTGACAATATAAAAAAACATGTAAATTAAATTGAACATTTATTTACCAATAATTAATATTAGATGATTACAAAAGGATGTTTTATATTTATTGAATGCAAGTAGTGACACACAAAAAATTTAATTTAAACATGTAAATGAGGCATTCTATGTCAAACCGGCACCTTTAAAATATCATTTTTAATTTTCTTTGCTGATATATTCTACATAAAAATATAAGACATGTGTTTAGTAAAAAAAATTTGAATTTTTTTTGGTAAAGTTATTCACGTTTATAAGTTACAGAAATTCATAAAAAACTCTTGAGTGTCGGCATGGTTCCATATACAGCTAAAAAGCTAGCAGGATCAAATCAGCAGAATCAAATCAGACCTATCACAATTTTTAGTATTTATTTTGTACTAAATTGTACCATTAATGATAATTATCGTGTGTCATTTCGAAAAAAAATCATGGCGCTGCTGGCTTAATATTAAACTGGTAGAACCAATTCAAAATAAAAAAAAAAAGAAAAATAATATCAGAAATCGATACGATTGAATTTGTATTATTTTGCATTGCCAAAAACAATTCAATATTATGTCATTTCCAAGAAAACAATGACGCTGATAGTTTAATATTTCAGCTAGCAGAATAAAAAAAATATCACAAGAGCAAAAATTAATACAACTGAATTTGTACTAATTTGCACATACCATTGAAAGTAAGTTAATATTTTACATGTTTTCTCCTTAAATGATTTTATTAATATATGTAATACTTACAATCTATCAAGCATTCCACGTCAAACTGGGCATCTTTTATTCCCATTTTAATTATGAAGTAATTGAAAATTTCAAAATAGAACTCGAATGGATTGTATAATTAAAAAATTTAAGTTTTGAAATTTTCAGGGTTACTTCATATTTGAATGGGAATATAATATTTTTACAAAATTTTTTAATTGCTGAGTTGATGAAAAATGCTCATAAAAATTGTAATGTAAACAAATGGAAAATGATTTATTTATATGAAAATAATAAATTAAAAATAATCCATCCATAGAACAATTTAAGCTCTTTAGAATCGGATTTTTAATTTCGGAAAATTTTGCATTTTTTTTGTACGATTAATGGTTTCGATATAATTATTTGAAAAAAAATTTCAAATTTTTTTCACGAAAACATGTCAGCAAATTAAAAAAAAAATGACGATATTTCCCGAGAGGTACCCAGTTTAACGTGGAATGCCTCAAATGCGAGAGAAAGCTTGACATAAAGTTTTGCTTCTAACATTGGTATATAACATAATTATTATTATTACCAGAAACCAAAAATTTTAAAGCCAAGATTATAAAGAATATTTATAAGTGTCACGGAAATTAAAAAATTTCATCTCGAGCGCTTTGTCGATGAATACTTTTAAGGGTATCAAACAGTAGAAATGAAACCTCAGCAACGCAAAGCACGATGGATACGTTCCTGGGGAGAAATACGAGAACGTGCCGAGCGAAAGTACGACGAGTGGCGAGACGGAGAGAACAGAAAGAGCGGACCGGAGGATGTGGGGCTCGTGTAACAGAGTCCATTGTTGAAGCTTATTGAGAATCTGCCAATAGCCCGGGATTCAATTTGACTGGTGAACCATGAACACCATTTAATATACAAGCGCCTCACCGCTCCGCGCCGCGCGAACTTCTGCAACGCAACAAGCACGTGAAACACCTCGAAGCATGATGCCATTCTCGCACCAAAGAACGAAGAAAAAGAAAAACGAAACTTTTGGGATATTCGATATTAGCGGAGTTAACGTCGACTTTTTTCGATTTGCGCGATATCCTGATACTGATCCAAATGGATTTCGAATTCTTTCTCCCTACGTTCTTGTCTTTTTTTCTGTCTTTTATTTCGCCACGTCTTCTTTCATAAACATTTTATTTAAAAAAAAAACAAACAAAATTGTAATGATAGTAAACTTTTTATATGTAATCATTTTCGCTAACTCATATCGCTATCATTTTAACGGTTTATATAATTTCCTTGCTACGTTTCACGTTTTTCATGTTATTGATCACTAATTC